GATCAACAGCCGGGAATGGCTGACAGGGAAGTTTTGAGAGAGTCTTCTAGTGGAGATGAGAACTTGGAAAATTTGTGGTTAAATGTAAAAAACAGAAGACGGTTGAGAAGGCAAACTCAGCTGGAGCGAATGAGGAGAGCGAGTCAGTAAATTAGCACGTTGCCTCAATGAGTATAAAAGGACACAGCTGGGCTGGTACAGTTTGCCAGGAACAAAGTGACTTATTTGAGTGAGGACGTTACAGCAAGAAGCTCTGAGACTAGAGATTTATTGCCAGGACTGGTTTGCCAGACAGAGTAAAGATTTATGCTGTGGATTGAGATTCCTGTCAGCCGTTATCTTGTAAGACTTCTTTCCGTTTGATTTAATTGTGAAACGGCCGCTTTCTGTTTTGTTCGTTGGAATTTTGAAAGGGAGTCATAACAGGTACCTATTATAACTTACATCACTTTGGGGTTTCTTTAGGCAATCCGTGATATGTGAAAGCTTAGCATCGGCCCCTCCCCGAGTCTTCTGATGCCTGCTGGAAAAAGGATGCTTCCAGGTGGATCTAAAAAGAGTCAAGAATCAGAATAGAGCTGGAAGAGACCTTGGAGCCTCTTGGTCAAGCAGGAGAGCCTATACCACCATTTCAGTGGAATATGAGGATCCAGTGTCTTCTTACAAACCTTTAATGATGAAGCGCCCACAACGACTGAAGGCAATCTCTTCCACTGCTTAATTCTCCTCACGGCTAGGAAGTTTCTTCTGAATTCCAAGTTGCTTCTCTCCTGGATGAGTTTCCATCCATTGTTTCTTGTCCTGCCTTCAGGGGCTTTGGAAAATAAGTTAACTTCCCCTCTTCCTCTTTGTAGTCACTTCCCCTCTTTGTGGCACCTTCTCAAATGCTGGAATACGGCTATCGTGTCCTTCCTAGTCCTTTTTTTTTTTTTTTTCTAGACTGGCCAACCCCTGCAAAAGAGAGACTGAAACAGCATTTAGTGCTTTCCATTGATCAGATTGTCCCACGAAAATGTTCAGGTGGAGCCAGCAGATCTGGGATCTCTCTCTCTCTCCCCCTCCCCCTCTCTTTTATTCCAAATATGCAGGGGGGGGGGAGGGAGAAAGGACAAAAAAAGAGAGAAGAAAAAACAAAAAATATAACAAAAGCTGCGTCTATCCTGACTCTCTGCTGCCATCCTGTGGATTTTCCTGGCCCACATTTTACAAAAAAACCTAAGGACGTGTTGGTGAACCTATGGCACGCGTGCCATAAGTGGCACGCAGAGCCATTGGTGCTGGCACGCGAGCCGAAAGGCAAACTTACCTCACTGTGCATGCGTGCGCCTCACAGCTGATTTGTGGGGGGGTTGGTTTGAGGCCTTTTTCGGCCTCTCGGAGGCTTGGGAAAAGCCTCTGCAAGGCTTTTCAGGCCGAATTATAGGCCCGTTTTGTCACTTCCTGTAATACCAGAAGGGACGAAACGGGCCTACAATTTGTCCTGAAAAGCCTTGCAGAGGCTTTTTCCAAGCCTCCGAGAGACCGAAAAATCAACTGTGAGGTGCAGTGCAAGTAAGGGAGTGGCGGGGGAAGATTGCGCGCACATGCGCAGGGAGTGGGGGGCGCATTGCATTCTGGGTACTGGCACGCAAGTGCGTATCTGCTGGCACGCGCACAGTTTTTAGCACAGGAGCCCCAAAAGGTTAGCCACCATTGACCTAAGGTGGCAAACATATCCACCAGGCCCATTTCCTATTTTCCTCACAAGAAAACCTCTGTGAGGTGGGTCACACTGAGACTGACTGGCCTAAGGTGGCCAAGATGGCTTTTGTGGCTAAAATGGGACTAGATTGGGGTTGATTGATCTTTATTTCCAACTTCCCAATCAGCTTCCAACACACAAAATTGAAGAGGGAAGTTGGATTCAATGAACAACCATTTGATTCACTTCTCCCCACAGTTCAGTTTCCTTTACTGATTAGCCCTGCCCCTTGTGCCATATCAAAGTGCAGAGTTCTAGACACAAATCATTACAAAAATCTGATAAAAACCATTTAAAATGAAATTGGATAAAAATACCATTTAAAGTGAAATTCAAATAAAATACAGTTTAAAATGAAACTGGAATCAAATACAATAATTTAATATGTAGATAAATAAAATATGATAAAATTATATTTCGGTATCAAAATACTTGATTCATTTAAAAAACAAACAAACCATGATTTGTTTAACCACCATGGCAAAAAGGCCATCAAAACAGGTACTCCTTGACCGCAGCTTTTTGCTTAGCGTTGGAAATCATAGTCCCAATTGTGGTTATTAAGTCAAAGACTACCTGTATCTATAAAACAGCAAGCAACCCACCCCCCCACTCCCTTACCCTGATGATGTTGCCTAGTTGGGTAACGAAACGTTTGCGAGCAAGCCACCAAGCTCAGAGGACTCACCAAGGCCCTTCTTAATTTTCAGGTGACCAAATGGGAATTGCTGATTGTGGGGAAAAAAAATCAGCAATTCCCATTTTTCAGCCACCGAGTGCTATTTCTCCAGGTCTTTTTGACCGCCAGGGATTCTCTTAGCACCCACATTTATGGGGGAGAAAAGTGAATTCTTGTACCTGACCACTGGCATCTTCTACCTGGGAGATTGCAGGTTGAAGCTTGGCTCAAATTGGAATCAACCGATCCTTTCTGATCTAGGAGAAGAAAAAAAAGATATTTGTCCTGCCTCCAGCATACCATTTGCCCTCAGCCTGATGGAGTTGCAAGACCAGATCGAAAAAAGGCGAGGGAGGGAAGGATGTGTGTGTGTGTGTGTGTGTGTGTGTGCAATTTTGCAAATAGATCACTATCATCAGGGAATTACTCCCAACCTTTGTAAATGAGACACAGTCCGTAGCCTGCAAGTAGGAACAGCAATTCCTTAGTGGTTGCTATTGACCAGGGACAGTCAATAAAGCTTGTTCACGCCATGGAAAAACCAATTCTGTAGCAACACTGAAGCCTAGTAACCGATGCACTGTATTGCAAAGGTTTGGCAGATCCATCTTGTTTTATTTTACACAAAACATTCCAGTTAAATGAGGCCAGAATTGGTCTCTTGTTTCTCTCCGTCTTTACTGCTTTCAAAAAATAGGTCACTTTTATTTTCACCAGCCTGAAATAGTTGGAAACACCCCAATTTCAGGGTCCTACCCAACAGCTTCCTCTAGCAAGCTAAGGAGAACCTTAGGAATTCTTCCCAGATAACTACGGTAGGAACTGGCTTAGGATACAGGGAAGGTAGTTATCCTAAGTTATGGAATTTAATTGCTGCTGTTGTATTATTCGATTCTGATAACTGCCGACATCTGGATGTTAAGGTTTAAACTGGGCCTGGCTAGTCTAGTGAAGAGAAGGACCAGGGGAGACAGGAGAGCAGTCTTCCAATATTTGAGGAGGGGCTGCCACAGAGAGGAGGAAGGGGGTCAAGCTATTTTCCAAGGCACCCGAAGGCCAGACAAGGAATAATGGATGGAAACTGATCCAGGAGAGATTCAACCTGGAAATAAGGAGAAATTTTCTGACAGTGAGAACAATCAACCCATGGAACAGAAGTAGATGAGAAGTGAAGAGTCTTCAAAAGAAGAAATAAGAAAGTCTAGTTGCCTCCTGAAAATGCACCTTTGGAACAACCATGACCTGGATGACCGAGAATCTCTATAGATATTTGCTAGATGCAAAGAGGGGAAAAAATACCTCAAGAAATGCTTTGTGTTCTCATCGAATCTTAAAATTTACTCAAAGCTGGTGATACTAGGCCCAGATAGAAATAAAGCCCATGGCCTATATCAGAGATGTCCAACCTTGGCAACTTCAAGACTTGTAGACTTCAACTCCCAGAATCCCCTAGCCAGCTGGGGAATTCTGGGAGTCGAAGTCCACAAGTCTTAAAGTTGCCAATGTCAGGGTTCCAGGTAACAGACCCATAGCTAAACAACACTTCGAGGCATTAAGATGCCTGAACGAATAGCTTTATTGGATATCATATTGGCACAGATCTGGTGAAAACCGACTCTGAAGGTTTTCCGCGGTTTTCACCTCATTCAGTTTGTCATTTTCTCAAAACAATCAATCACATGATCCAATCACAGTGCTGTCTGGTGGCCTGGTGACAGCACTTCTCCTCCTCCTTCCTCTGGCCAGGTGTGAGAATGTCCTTGGGTCTCAAGAGAAATATATTGCTTTGGCTACAAAATCCCAGCTATCTCAAATCCCGCCCTCCTCATCCTTCCACTCCAGTGTGGTAACACTGAAGCTTCTAAAATGGCTTCCGTCAGGTCAGCTTCAGGGTTGACAGCCAAGTCAGGACATCCCATCCAGGCTTTTGTCACTAAAACTCCGCCAGTCGTTAACTGGGAAACGCAGATTTAACACGGTGAATATTATCTCTGAGTTCTCCGTGTGTGGTTTTGGGCCAACCACAGCGGAACACAAGAGCTGTGTTAAATTCTGGCAGGTTTTATAACTTGACTGCAGGAGGCAGAGCTGCATAAAATAAGCCAAGTTTGTCCTTTGACCTAGTTTTCCCTGGTTTGTTTTGTTCTCTCTTCAAGCACCCAGGATGCATCATTGTGCTATAGAAAACATTAAGCAAATGTTGAAACTCGCGAGGCTGCCGGAGGGCAGCAAACTATGCCAAGAAGTCTTACGAACTAATTTTGACCGGAAGAAACTTGGGAGTGTTTTGTTCTTCCATCTCTTATTAAAAAAGAGAAATGGTCTCTGCTCGTTTAATGTGAAATAACAGCTTCAAGGCAGTCAGCACCCAGGATTTCTTGGGGTGCAAAAATATATATTTCAGGCAGCATAAAATACAAAATCCTGGTGCATTTTAAAGAAAAAGGTGGGTCATCTAGTATGTTTGTGTGGGATTGTAAACACCTACAGATTGTCCCCGACTTACAATAGTTCACGTAGCGACAGTTTGAAGTTACAACGGCGGTGAAAAAAGTGACACGGCTGTTTTCCCCACTTCAGACTGTTGAAGCATCCACATGGGCCTGTGTCATGGGCCTGTCGGAGCCTGAATCCACAGAGGAGGAGGAGCGGGAGCTGGGGCTGACGGAGGTTGAGGGGTTGGCCTCGATGGCTTTGGAGGAACGCGGGAAGGAGCAGGACGAGGGACCCCCTCAGGCACGGGACAGCCTGCCAGCACGGAAGAATGAGGGCAGGACAACCGAGAGAAAGGGGAAGAGAGGGCAGGCAGTGGAGATGAGGAGCAACGGAGCTCAGGCGACAAACAAGGACCGCCCCCTCCTGATCCCTGAGCACGGAGGGTGGAGAGGAGACAGGAACAGCATAGGCCGACCCGACAACTCAGGAGGAGAGCGCCCCGCCCCTCTTCACAAGGCACACCTGTGGACTGAGACTGTGGGGAAAGGCATTTATCGGAAACAAGTGCTGAATTCATGGAGTTTTGTATGCCGTTGCAGAAGCCGGTTTGCTGGACTTGCCTTATTACGGCTTTTGTTTCTTTGCCTCGCTGGACTTCTCGTCTTGAAGCTGATGTGCTAACTGCGTTTTGTTGGACTACTCGCAGCCAGAGGCTGCTACAGGTGTGTGTGTGTGAGAGAGCACTTTGCTCCGGGACTTGCCATAAACGTGGGAGCGTTTGGGGGAAAAGTTGGAGCAATAAAGGGGAATTCAAACTATCAGCTGGCTGGGTTTTGCCTCCCTGCCTTGCCCCAGGTCATCAGTCATGTGATCAAAATTTGAACGCTTGGCAATTGGCTCATTTTTATGACGATTGCAGTCTCCCGGGCCCTGGGATCATCTTTTGCGCCCTTCTGACGAGCAAAGTCAAAGGGGAAGCCCCCTTAACGACTGTAGTGAACCATGCAACAATTGGGGCAGGAAAAGTGGCAAAAATGGGGCAAACCTCATTTATGAAACTTCTCACTTAGCTAAAAAAAAAAAAAGGGCCTCAATTGTGGTCGTAAATGGAGGCCTACCTGTAATGCAAGGCTTCATTATAATACAACCAACTTTGAACAAAGGGATGTGGTGGCAAGTTGAGGTCAACCTGTGTTTATATAACGGGTGCAGGAATTGGGATCCCATAATCGCCATTTGTGACTTTCCCAGCTGTGGTTCCGACAAGTCAGTAGGAAAAGCCAGATTGGCTGAACTGCAGTGACTCATTTAACAAAGTGGCCAAAAAAGGTTTAAATTGGCCACGACTCACTTAACAACTGCCTTGCACAATAATAGGCTTTCTGCTTTTAATTGTTGGTTATATGTTGAGGATGACTTACATTTTCTGATGGATTTGTTTCCAGGGACATTTTTCCTAAGTTGGCGAAGGCAACAATAATAAATGATATTGTAATGTGTTAAAATTTATATACAGGTCATCCTCGACTTACAACAGCTCATTTAGTGACTGTTCAAAGTTACAACGGCACTGAAACGTCCGTTGCAGCATCTGCATGGTCGCAGGATCAAAATTCAGATGCTTGGCAGCTGGTTCATGTTTATGACGGTAGCAGTGTCCCACGTGATCCCTTTGGTGACCTTTTGACAAGCAAAGTCAGTGGGGAAGCCTTAACGACCAGGTTACTAGCTTATCAACTGCAATGATTCGCAGGAAAACTCGTCAAACGGGGCAGAGCTCACTTAACCCGTGTCTCATTTAGGAACAGAAAAGTTGGGCTCAATTGTTGGGCCGTAAGTTGAGGACTCCCTATCCTAACTCCCAGTAGGAGTGGGTCTGTTTTATCCCGAGCCAGGGTGGCTGCCTTTTTTTCTTAGAAAGCAGAACAATGACTTGTTCCAGAACCCTTAAAGAGGAGGGGGGATGGCTCCCCCAACCCAACCCAGACCCTGCCGTGTTTCCATGGATCCGTCACTCATTTCCTTACACTCCCAACAGGTTCAGCTTCCAGTCTCGGCCATCCACAATCAGTGATGGACAAAGTTACCGGGGTAAACGACGCCTTGTTACAACAGGTGTAAACCAGAGGTGAGTATTCAGCAGGTTCGGACTGGTTCTGGAGAACCGGTAGCGGAAATTTTGAGTAGTTCGGAGAACCGGCCAATCCCGCCTCTGACTGGCCCCGCCAACCCCATCTCTTCTCTGCCTCCCATTGAGTCCCAGCTGATGGGCTGGGTCTCCTTTGGTTGCCCTGCACAGGAGAAGGGAGCTGGAAAGCAGGTTAGTGGGGTGGGGAGGGAAGGGGGATTTTGCAGTATATCCTTCCCCTGCCACGGCCACCAAGCCACGTCCACAGAACCGGTAGTAAAAAGGTTTGAATCCCACCACTGGTGTAAGCCTACAGGGTTGGGCTTTGCACAGACCTGAGTGAATTAAGAATATCGTCAAAATCCGCAAGCAGAGGAAAACTGCGGACGACGTTAAAGAGATGCAGCTCAGACAGGAAGTGGGTCAGCAGACTTCTTGGGCAGAGCCTGTATTAATTTTGGGATCTAGTGAAGTGGGCTGGACTACTGTAAGGCACAACTCCCTTCAGAACCTCGTCAAAAACTGCCACAGAGTTGGGGGCGTTACTCAGCAGGACGAGTCCCAACGCTCGTTTTGAAGCGACGGCAACAGCCACCAGGAGGCTATTTCACAGACACTGGCAAATAGTCCCTGACTTACAACAGTTCATTTCACGACCAAAGTTACAACGGCACTGGAAAAATGTGACTTATGACCGTTTTTTTCAGTTATGGCCTCTGTATCATGTGATCAAAATTCAGATGCTTGTCAATTGGTTCGTATTTATGACCGTTGCTGTGATCCCCTTTTGTGACCTTCTGATAAGCAACGGGGGGGAAGCCAGATTCACTTAACAACCAGGTTACTAACTTATCAGCTGCAGTGATTCACCTGCAGCGGCAAGAAAGGTTGTAAAACGGGATAAAGCTCACTTAACAAATGCCTCACAATAACATAAATTTGGGGCTCCGCTGTGGTCCTTAAGTCGAGGACTGACTTGTACCCTGAAGGGTCCCCAGAGGGCAGCAACTCAACGCCTCCTTCTCCCTTTGCCTGCCTTTCCGTATCAGCCTCCTTCCCAACCTCACCTGTTGCAAAGTGATCTTCCCGAACAGGATTTCCCCAACCGTGTCAACTTTTGCGACGCATGGACTTCAACTCCCAGAATTCCCCAGCCAGCACTCAAAAAACAAAAAAAACAAGGAACGAGAATAGGGAAAGAAACCAAAACAACCGAGTCTTGTTTTATTGAGAGAAAGCTCAGCTTATTTAAAACAATAACCTATTCCAATGGAAACCAAAACAAGGGTCGGCCCAACAAGCCGCAAGGACATTCTCCCCGCTTGGCACAGGCCAACGGCGTTGGGACAAAACGGAGGAGGAGCCGCACAAGCGTGACGTCCTGGCTTGTCTTTTGGCCTCGGTGATTAATTGCCGTCTAAAATGTCACGAGACTCAAAAGGAGACACCGTCAGATAAGCTGGAAATACAACCCTACGTGTATATAAAGTGTGAGCTTCCGACTTTCAGCTCCCTTCTGGCTTGTGGGCCGTCCTTGTCTTTGGTCTTCCGAGCAATTATGGCACCATCGCTGTGTGTGTCTTAAGCGCACAAGACGACGCGTCTCCAAGGAGAGCCCCAAGGGGCTGCAGAGAGGAATGGCAGAAGGCGGCGGTCATCTTCCAAGGCCCGAGAAGCCAAACACAAAACACACCGACACACAAGCAGCGCGACAACCCCGTGTTTTGTGGTATCTTCGCTCCGGGATTCGGAGACGATGGCGGTGTGAGATTGCGGAGTTTCTGGTCCAAGGGAGACCAAGTAAGGAAGAGAAGGGGAGGCCGACTCTTCTACTGGCCAAACTTACACAGGGTTGAAGCACTGCCCTTCCTAAAGTTGAGGGTGAGTTAAAACTCTAAGATTGCTTCATGCTACTGCATCATTAAATTGGGACTAATTTAATAACTCCCCCTATGGTCTGCTACTTAAAAAAAAAAGGGGTGGGGGAGAGAAAGAGAGAGAGAGGGAGAGAGAAAAGAGAACAGCACGTTCTTGAGTGAGGGATGATGGTTCTTAAAACTAACTGGCGACGTTTTCTTGAAATGTAATTTCCCCCAGGCCTTCCATTTTCCTTTCCCCAACTCTCAAGATTCAGCAGTGAGGACAAAGAGAAAAAGACTTTTATGTGTGGTTAAAACGTAAAGGCTAAAAGATCTCTCACTGCTTTTTTGTTTTCCTTTTTTTTTAAAAAAAAAAAGGATGCAAGGATGTTCTAGAAATATTGTTGGTTTTACAGCAGGAAAGTGTCAGAAGAAACATCTAAGTTGTCTGCTTAGGTTTCATGTGTCACCTGAGAGAGAGAGAGAGAGAGAGAGAGAGAGAGGGGAGACAGAATATATAATTAGGCTCAACGAATGCATTGTATCGTGGGTGTTTACACACACACACACACACACACACACACACACACACACACACGAGTTAAGGGCAAATCCAAATATCCCAATCCCATCCAAGGATGACTTCAAAACACAGTGTCAGCCTTGGAAGCCATTTTTTACTTGGAAGCTTCGAGGCTGCCGCATTCAGTGCCTGAGGGATTTTGGGAGGGGGGATTTCATAGAGAGGAGGAAGATTAGACTCAACAACATTCCTTTCTCAGACAGTCAAGGACATGTTGCCCTGCCCCTGGAGGGGAGCGACTGGAGGGGTGTCTCCAGTTGGGACGAAGATTTGATTGGGCCGTGTGATGGACTGATGGGTGCAGGGGAGGGACCTTGGATTTCTCTTTTTAACTCTCAGATGTGGCTTTTCCCAGATGTGCCAGTATGACGACTCCAATACAATGGAACTTTGAGGAATTGATCGCCTTGGGAGTTTATTGGCTTGGAGTTGGTTAGTTGGACTGCTGACACATAGCATGAAAAGAATGCCAGCTGGGAAGTATGCGAGACTCACGTGCACTAAAGGATATGAGTTTGCGGGGGGAAAGAGTTTTAAAAATATTGAATTGTGACAACTCTCTTATATGGACAGGTTCTGGGTGGCCACCGATTATGGGATCAATTCATCGCACTCATATACAAACAGAGCAAACCCCTCTCTCTCTCAGCACTGATGATGTTACCTAGTTGGGTAATGAAATATCTGGAAGGAAATCACCAAGCTCAGAAAGCACCAAGGCCTCCACAGTTAACCCTGAGCTACAATTATTCCCTTCTACCGGTAATACATTACATCTTCCCGGTATTCCTGTTAGGTGAGTGGGATAGGGCAATAATGCCGAATGACCTTCACCTGGCTGAGTAGATACAAGGTGCAAAGGGAGGTTCAAATTGGGGTTACATGCTCCATCCTTTCCCAACTTGGTATCCTGAAAATGTGTGGGATTGCAACTTTTGTCCCTCTTGTGTAAATAATGCGAGTCGCAGTCCAAGAACTTTTAGAGGGTATTACTGTGTTTCCCTGAAAATAAGACTCTGTCTTATATATATTTTTTTGCCACCAAAAAAGGCACCAGGTCTTATTTTCGGGGAATGCCATCCACTGACTAACCTCATTTGTGCGGATCGCCCTCAGCCTCCTTTTCGCGGTCAGAGGCCTTCAGAAACTTCTGCAGCCGGCAAGGCTTTCCTGAAGGCCTCCGCAGCCAATAAGAGAGCTCTGGATCGATCCAGACCTTTGTTATCAGCTCCAGAGGCCTTCAGGAAAGCCTTGCCGGCTGCAGAAGAAAGGAACCTGCTAAGGCAGGTATCGGGGTATGTGAGGCCTGGCTACAACTGTTCAAAGTAGTAAGACGGCTGCACCCACCCTCGATCCCTACCCTATGTACTCTGGAGTGGGTGGGATCTTAATTAGGGCTTATTTTGGGGGTAGGGCTTATATTGGGCGCACATGTTTTAAAAAAATCAAGCTAGGACTTACTTTCAGGATAGGTGGTATTTTTGGGAAAACGGGGTAGAACACAGAACAACAGGGTTGAAAGGGACTTCAGAGGTCTTCTAGTCCAACTCCCTGATTAAGAAGGAGACCTTATACCATTCAGGACCAATGATTGCCCAATCACTTCTTGACTGGTAATGGGAGCACCCACAACTTCTGGGGGCGAGCTATTCCACTGACTAATTCCTCTGTCATAATCAGCCAGGATGATGGCATTTCCTGACCGAGAAGACGCGGACTTCCTTTTCCGTTGCTGTTATTTTTCTAAAGCAAATCCAGAATTTCGAAAATGGGGTTTTCTTTCCATCTCTGGATGGTGGGGTGCAACGTGGCCATATTGGGCGACTCCCACCTGCCGTTGCTCGGCCCTCCCAGGAATCCTACCTTGCCGTGAGTTTAGTTTGCATTCCTCTGACGCACATTCTTGTCCATGTTGTTTGCAGTGTTGCCTTTTCTGGGAGGCAAGAGGGAAAGTCAGTCAGTTCTAGACCTTAAGGATGATCTGTGTCAAAGTCTAAACTAGATTAGCAAGTAGGCGGAGTCTAGGACCTATGCTGATACTTCACACACACACAGACACACAATTAGAAAGCTCTGCCTTTCACCTACCCTCTCACCTACCCATCTGATCAGAGACAGCAGGCAGCCCGTGTTCCTCAAAGTTAAAAGTGAGTGTCTCTCAACCTCGACAACTTGAAGATGTGTTGACTTCAGCTCCCAGAATTTCCCAGCCAGCTGTGAGCTACGCTGAGATTTCGAGACAAGACAATTTGAAGCAGTTTCTCAGCCTTGGCAGCTTGACGAAGCGTGGAGTTCAATTCCTAGGATTCTGGGCGTTGGAAGTCCACACATCTTCAAGTTGCCGTGGTTGAGGAAAATCTGCTCTGGCATAGCCAACCCAAGCCCTTGTGTTTCTAGACTTTAAAGCAGGGGCGTCGAACGCAAGGCTCACCCGCCGGATCTGGCCCGTGGGGGCGCTTAAATCTGGCTCACGGGGCTGGCCTGGAAATAGCAAAGTGCCTTTTGGGGGCCTCTGGCAACCAGAATGGAGCACTGGGGTGTGTGTGTGTGTTTCTGGGCTCCCCACAACCCGGCAAAGTGCTGCAGGAGGCCATCTAGGCTGAAAATGGGGTGCGTGGGGAGGTGTTGTTCCCCCGCCCCCACGGTGCCCTGTTTTGGCTGGCAGGGTGTTGCAGGAGCCGTCCATCCCACGTTCCTCTCTTGGCCGGCCTGTGGAGGACAACTGTTAACACTGATCCGGCCCTCGAAGAAATCCAGTTTGACACACACACACATAGACACACACCCCTCACTTTAAAGGACCCATTAATCCTTCTCCTGCTCCCCCTCCCCCTCCCCCACTTTGGGCCCTGTGGGTTGCTCTTCCCTCCCCTCTCTGTTTCCTGCCGCTCCTCTTTCACAACCTGCCAGCTTCAGTAAGCAGCCTCTGGCTTAACCCTGGTTCCCTCAGGCAGGAGGCAGCCTCCTGAAGAGCCTTTATGCCTGCTCAGGTAGTTGCAGTTGGGCCCATCCAGCTGGTTGTCTAATTTCCCACCCACAAGTGGCCTCAGGAGGTGATTTACGGGGGGGGGGGGGGGGGAATGATTCTTTATACTTACAGGGGTGCAGAGCCTCCATCATCATCATCTTTGAGCAAAGGAAGAGAGGAGGAGAAAGACTGAAGTCAGCAAGAGGATTTTGGCGAATAAGCAAATCATACTTTGTCAGATTTATTTATATATACATTTATATTTCCTATTTATAAACCGCCCAGTTTCCTCAGAGAGGCCGGGCAATTAACCTCCTTCATCCCCAATTCATTCTACTGTATCTATCATCCCAGCTATTATTTGTCAAAAAAAATTAACAATCCCTAGCTTTTAACACGTCTACATTCATTTATTTACATCCCACCTTCATTATTTTTATACATTCTGTTTTCCCCACAACAACCCTGTGAGGTGGCTTGGGCTGAGAGAGAGGGACTGGCCCAAAGTCACCCAGCTGATTTATGTGCTTGAGGTGGGAGTAGAACTCATGGTCCCCCAGTTTCTAGCCAGGTGTCTTCACCGCTCGATAAACTAGCACAGGGGCACTACGATCATACATGGATGACAAGACAACCAGGGCAAGAGCAAGAGGCGGATTTAGTTTGGACTTCTTCCATTTACCACAAAGGGTTAACAGGCAGCGGCAAGAAAGAATTTAATTCAACGTTAATGCCGGCAAGTATGCCAAATTTACAAGCTTTTAAACCAGACAGGCACTTTTAAGCTGTCTGGACTTCAACTCCCAGAATTCCCCAGCCAGCATGCTGGTTGGGGAATTCTGGGAGGTGAAGTCCAGACAGCTGTAAGTACCTAAGGTTGAGAAACACAGTTTTAAGCCAATCAAGAAACCTTCCTCTCCTCTTAAGACAGCGGTCCCCAACCTTTGCAGCTTGGTGGTCCAGCCCAGCACGGGGGATGGGAAGAGGGGATGGTTTTGTGTGAGTGGCGTGTGCGTGTGTGTATGTGTGTGTGTGTGTGGGGGCTCTCCCACCACTTGTGTGGCCCGGTTCTGAATGGGTCATGACCCGGTAGTGGGCTGCAGCCTGGGCATCCAAGACAGAAGTAGGGAACTATGGCCTCTTTATGACTGGAGGACTTCAACTCCCAGAATTCCTGCTGGCTCAGGAATCCTGGGGATTGAAGTCCACAAATCGTAACAGGACGATAGTTCCCCACGCCTGCTCGAAGATTCTCCCTTTCCCTTTACTCCATTCAAAGGATTGCTGCAAAGACAACGTATACATGAAGCAGGACTTTAACTAAGTTTATAAGGATGAAGAAAGTCAAGAATATTTTCCGGCTTGCCAAGAAAAATATAAAGAACAATGATTTAAATCTCCACAGCAAAAAAAACCATTGTTTTAAAAGGAAAGAAGAGAAGGGGGTGGCACAGGAGGAGGTGTTGAATTTCTGATTTAGACTGAAACATCTCAGGTATTTAAAGGAAAAATATTTTTTTTTCAAAATGCAAACATGTGGAGGGAAAAACACTGATGAGAATACTTCCTAAGAGAAGAAATTCACTGCTGACAGCAGTGAAATAAGGCTGACATTGGCGAAGAGATTTCTCCGGGGATTTTAAAAACATTCCTGCCCATTGATTTATGCAGCAGAGTTGTTGTTTTCGGCCCCCACCAGGAGACAAGGAACAAGGGGAGCAGATAAAGTCTCACTCAGCCATGTTTCCACAGTGCCCAAGTTGCCATCGGAGTGAGATTAATTTCCTTTTCAGGTGTGGAATCCAAGCCAAGCTTAGTATAATTAGGCAACCTAATGGGCGAACATGCAGGAGCCGCTTAAGGCAGGGGTCCCTAACCCACCCACCCATCCCCAGTTTGTGGACTGGCACTGGGCCGTGGCATGCCACAAACCAGGCTGCACAAACAAGCAAAGCCCCATCCGTGGGATGCAGGCAGCACACGAAACCACGCCCGGTCCAGTCCGTGCCCCAAAAGGTTGGGGTCCGTTGTCTTAAGGCATCTCAACCCTAGAGAATCTGACCCCTTACAGGCCTTCAACCCAGGGCAGGGTTAGCTGTCATTTTAAGGGACAGATCTCAACCAACCCTCTCCAAATTATAAGTGGCAACACAGAATGATTTCACTCAGAAAAGCCATTTCCCCACCACCACCAGGGAAAAGGATTGACAGCAATTTTTTAAAGGCTTTCCATTCTCGGCCTCTGTTAATACACGACCTCCTTGCAATTTCCCAATGTCGGGAAAATCCTGATACAGATGCACATAAGAGCATCTTGGCACCAGCTGTTTGTGGAGACTCAGCTGCACGAAGCGGACTTCAGCCGAATCCGTCCAGGGGATACTTAGCCAACATTGATCGTGTAAGACGTGATAAACCCAAGGGCTGATTTACTCACTTCATAAATGTTAATTAAATGGCCCAGTCAAAAATAGGGCCAGGTTTATGTCTTTTACCATATTTTTCGCACTATAAGGCGCACTCCCCCTCCCCACCCAAAAAGTGGGTGGAAATGTCGGTGCATCTTATAGCAATAGCACTTAAAGACTTATATACCACTTTATAGTGCTTTTACACCCCTCTCTAAGTGATTTACAGAGTCAGCATATCGCCCCCAACAATCTGGGTCCTCATTTTACTCATCTTGGAAGGATGGAAGGATGAGTCAACCTTGAGCCTGGTGGGATTCGAACTGCCAAATTGCAGGCAGCTGGCTGCAGTAGAAGTAGTTTGCAGTACTGCACTCTGACCACTGCGCCACAGAGGCTCCTATATAGAGCGAATGCTGCCGAAGCCCCGCCCACCCGCCAGCCCCCGACCTTCGACCTCTGCCTCCCAGCAATTTGCCTCGTTGCAGCAAACAGCCCGGTCAGCTTCAACACAGCATGATTAGCACAAGTGGCCTCCTGGAATACCGCCGCTCAGCTGTGGGGATCGCCACCACCCGTCACCGTATCCATGCGTCCTATTTTTGGCTCATTCCAGCCAGCGGGGATCAGCGGTCTGGAACGGGCCAAAAATGGGACGCGCGAAAGGCTGAAAATGGGGTGCGCGGAGGCGGCAGCGATCCCCGCAGCCTGGAACAGCTGATCGGCGGTATTCCGGGAGGCCAATCCAATCGCCAATCAGCTGCTCGTGCTAAATCGTGCTGTGCTGAAGCTGACCGGGCTGTTTGCTGCAAGGAGGCAGAGGAAGATCCCCCCCCCTTCCCCTCCCCTCCGTTTTCCTCCCCAAAATCTAGGCGCATCTTATAGTCTGGAGCGTCTTATAGTGCAAAAAATATGGTATATCGTTAGACATTTGTTGCTTTGACATGATAACGCATCAGAAGAAAATTGCTTCTGGAGGTGGAGTATGTGGAGAGCTGTCACAGAGACGAAAAATAAATTAACGGTGTTGGATATTCCTGGAAGGAGTCATCCATATTAAGTGAAAGAACAAAAGGATCTCACCAACTTCCCACTCGGGTTTTGAGAGACAGAGATGAAGGAATTATCTCTTATTTCAGGGGTCCCCAGCCATGCAGCCACAGCCCACCAGGCCACGGGAGAGCTAGGCAAGCATGCGCACACAGAGCTCCACTCATGTGAGCAGAGGGTGCTTGTGCATGGAGCTGCATTGGGGCAAATGGAGCTTTGCGCGCAAGTGCCCTTTGCTCACGTGAGGGGAGCTTCGCGCGCAAGCACTACGGCCTCCACTCCACCTGTTTAGCAGGTGTTCAAAGTTGTGACAGTGCTGAACAAGTGGTACTTAAGACCAGTCCTCGAGGTTCTGGCTGATTTTTTGCTTAGCGGTGGCAACCGGGACTGCTGGGATTGCTGTTGCTAAGCGAAGACACTTTACCACATCATTTAGCGACAGAAATACTGGTCCCAATTACCATGGTTAAATGAGGAAAGAGGGCAGACAGGAAGTCACCGACATAGGAAAAGGGACAGACAGGAAGTCCTCCCCGCCCCCAAAAAAGGGTTATCTGGAAAGTCATGTGGTCTGTTTGGTACTTATTTTCGTATTTGTCATGCCTCCCCAGAACTAACAAGTAACCGCACTTAGATTTATATACCGCTTCATAGCCTTCTCTAAGCAGTTTACAGAGTCAGCATGTTGCCCCCAACAAATCTGGGTCCTCATTTTACCCACCTCGGAAGGATGGAAGGCTTCAGTCGACCTTGAGCCGGTCAGGATCGAACTGCCAAATTGCTGGCAGACAGCAGTCAGCAGAAGTAGCCTACGGTACTACATTCTAACCCCTGTGGCTCTTTAGTACCAGCATATTAGAATATTATATGATTGCAATAGTATTAGGATTAATCTCCCCCTTGCCCATTCCAGCACCTTACCCTCGGGAATCTCATTGGGCTTTCTCCTCTTCTCGTAGATGAAGATTATTGTGACCAGCACCAGCACCTCCGCTACAATCCCCAGGAATGGCCACAGAGCAGCCAGCCGGCTCCGCACCTTCAGGGTCACCTCAGCACTCCCTTCGCCCATTTCATTGGTGGCGTTGCAGACGTAAATCCCGGGGTCCTTCTCCAGATCCAAAGAAACGACCCGAAGATCTGTCCTGGTGCCATTGGATCGGATGTAGAATCTTTCTTCAGTGCCGTTGGCAACAGGCTGGAGGAGAAGAAGGGTGTCACTAGCTCCAGAGGCAGACCCTTAGAAAGAGCTACAGACAAGTCCTCTGCTAACGACCACCATTGAGCCCAAAGTTTCTGTTAAGCAAGGCAGATGTTAAGTGAGCTTTTCCCCCGTTTTATGACCTTTCTGGCCACCATCGTTTAAGCGAATCGTGGCATTTGTTGAAAGTTAGTAACACGGTCATTAAGTGAATCTGGCTTTCCCACTGACTCTTTGCTTGTCAGGAGGTCGCAAAAGGGGATCACATGATCCTGGGAAACGGCAGCCATCGTAAGTCTGAACCAGTTGCCTGAATTTTGATCACATAACTGCTGGGGTCCTGCAACGGTTAAGCGTGAAAAACAGTCGCATTTTTCAGCAATACCCGAGTGGTGCAAACAGGTCTTGGAACTGTTGAAAGGACTGCATTGTCGCTTGGAGATAGATGATGTCGTAATCCCACCCACCCCCCGTTCCAAGAAGGCTCCACACCCATTTGCACCACTCAGGTAAACCTCCAAGCGGCCTCAACGACTCTCTAAAACAATGCAAATGACCAGATGACTGCAAGGAATATAAATCCCTACATTCCCCACTATCCCAGTCAGAGCTGAAGAAGCTTCTTGGATGAGAAGCGAAACGTCTTCAAAGAAAAACCAGAAAGTCCAGTTGCCTCTTGAAAAAAGCACCTTTGGGACACCATGACCTGGATGGCTGAGAATCTCCATGGACCATTACGAGGGTCGTCTATGGCTTAGGGCGTGCAAAAAACCATGTGGCTTATATTGAGGTTTGTGGCATGTAAATCACGGGGGGTGGTGTGTAGCCCTCCACCTTTTTTTTTTTAACCTTTGGTTTAAGTCTGTTTTTTGTTTTATTTTACTTTTTAACTACATCTCGTTGTACATGGCTGAATGGCTTTTATCTGTAAATCACGCAGTCACTCAGATGAGATGGGCCATATATAAATTTAGAGGGTTTTTCCCCCCCCCAGCCCTTGCGGGGACATGATAAAAATTAAACCTGGGGTCCTGTTTATTTTATTTATTAAATTTAGAAACCACCCATTCCCCTCACCAAGGGACTCTGGGTGAGGTACAAGTAAAGTATTAAAAACATTTAACCTTTTTCCTCTCGTGTGCTCCACAGTTCTATGCACTCCTTCCACCGGATTTTGGGGTGGGGGGCGGGACGGGACACACCCTTATCAGTTGTATAATCAGAAAAAACAATCTACTGGGTCAAGACTTTGTTAGTGGCTAATCAGACCCTTTTAAATAAAAAGAAAGCATTTTGGCTTTTTATATCGACGTACTCACCCGCCTTTAAACTGAGTATATAATGCTATTTAAAAACTGGTGCTGGGTTTCTAGTCAACAGCATGAGTCAGCAAACGTTGTACAGATGGTCCTTGACTTAAGACCACCATGGACTCCAGAATTTCCTTTGCAAGGCAAGGCAGTCGTTAAGTGAAATTTGTCCCATTTTATGACCTTCTTTGCCACAGTTGTTAAACAAATCACAAGGCAGTTAAGTGCATCTGACAAGATTCTAAATGATTATGTGACCATGGACAGGGCGACTGTCATAAATAAATGACAGCCCAAATTTTAACCACATGATCAAGGGGAGGTGGTGAGTGTGAAAACGGATCATAGGTCACTTTTTTTCAGTGCCACTATAGCTTCAAAATGTCACTAAATGGATGGATGTATAGGGTCTCAGGCAGAGGTGGTATTCAGCAGGTTCTGGAAAACCAGTAGCGGAAATTTTGAGTAGTTTGGAGAACTGGCAAATCCCACCTCTGACCGGTCCTGCCCCCATCTCTTCTCTGCCTCCCATTGAGTCCCAGCTGATGGGCTGGGTCTCCTTTGGTTGCCCTGCACAGGAGAACGGAGCTGGAAAGCAGGTTAGTGGGGTAGGGAGGGAATGGGGATTTTACAGTATCCTTCCTTTGCCACGCCCACCAAGCCACGCCCACAGAACCGGTAGTAAAAAAAATTTTGAATCCCATCACTGGTCTCATGCTTGAGCAGGGGTTGGACAAGAAAACCTCCAAGGTTCCTTCCAACTCTGTTATTCTTTATAACCAAGAGAACGGCGATACTTTCATACAATATATACAATACTTGGAAATGTACATCAGGTCTTCTGAAAGCAAAATCTCACCTTATTGGCTAGAATCAAAGGGGAAGATGACTTCGAAAAAGCTTCCTCTCTTACCGTAACATGCAAGACGAGGCAAGGAGGGCCCAGGAGAGGCGCCCCTCAATGCGAGTGACACTGAGTTGGCCACGCCCACCCAGTCACATGACCCACCCCCCCCAGCAACGCCTACCCAGCAGTCATTAGGGCTGAGACCTGGTTGTTAAATCCCACCAGGAAGTCGCGGGCTTCCTGATTTCAAATGGGCTTTTCTTTTTTTTTTTTTTTTACAGGTACGTATGTTAACCTCTCTCTTCAATTCACCACCTCTGAAGAAAGACCCCTAACTGGGACTCTTGACATGGTTTCTCCATAAGCAGCCAGGACACTGAAGTGTGGAGGAAAAGCAGGAGAATCCGTGGCAGGGAAGGCGCTCACCTGAGGCACCTGGTCTACCATCTTGTACCAAGTCCACTGGGTAACAGGAGGGTAAGAATTGCATTTGCAGGCCAGCGTTATGGAGTCGCCTTCGTTTCCGTGCTCCGTCTTCTTGTAGGGCACCACGTGGGGAGCAACTGCAACGGGATATGAGAAAAGCCAGTAGGTCACCATCAGTTCAAAGAGGGGGCGGAGGAGAGGCTGATCGAGGAAACCCCCCCCCCCCGCCTATAAACTCTCGTCCATCGTGAACAGCAGATTTCTTTGCAAGGTCTGGGAATTAGTTATTTGGGGACAGAGGTGCAAAAGGCTGGGAAAACACAGGAATGCCATCTAGCAACTGCAAAGACTTATATACCGCTTCATGGTGTTTTCTAGCCCTCTTTAAGCGGTTTACAGAGTCAGCCTATGGCCCCCAACAATCTGGGTCCTCATTGTACCAACCTCGGGAAAGATGGAAGGCTGGGTCAACTTTGAGCTGGTCAAGATCGAACTGCCGGCAGTCGGCAGAGCTAACCTGCAACGCTGCATTCTAACTAGCTCATTATCGTATCATAACCTCCTTCAATTTATCATCCTTGGGAGGTATTCGGTTATGAATCCCACAATTCCAGTATGGAAATAGCAATCCGATTTAACTAGAGCAGGGTTTCCCAACTATGACGACCTTAAGATGCGTGGACTTCAAGTTTCAGTCCCCAGGGCTGGCTGGGGAATTCCGGGAGTTGAAGTCCATGCATCTTAAAGTTGCCAAGATTGGGAAACCCTGACCTGGAGGATACCAGGCTGGTCTACATCATCTGAAACAGGCTTCCACGCGGATTTCCTGGAGACAAATATTTGGGTATTGTTATGGTCCCCTCTAGGTGATGAAAAATGGGTGACACTAGTACTTAAGGCTTATATACTACTTCATAGGGCTTTACAGCCCTCTCGAAGTGGTCTATGAAGTCAGCCTATGGCCCCCAACAATCTGGGTCTTCATGTTACCAACCCTGGAATGATGGAAGGCTGAGTCAACCTTGGGTTGGGCAGGATCGAATTCCTGGCAGTGGGCAGAGTCAGCCTGCAATACTGCATTTTCATCACTGTGCCACCACCTACCTACCTACCTACCTACCTTCCTTCCCTCCCTCCCTCCTAGTCCTTCTTTCCTTCCTTCCTTCCTTCCTTCTTCCCTCCCTCCTAGTCCGTCCTTCCTTCCTTTCCTTCCTCCCTCCCTCCCACTTAGCACTTATGTACCGCTTCACAGTGCTTTACAACCCTCTCTAAGCGGTTTACAGAGTCAGCCTCTAGCCCCAACAATCTGGAACCTCATTTTACCCGCCTTGGAAGGAAGGAGGCTGAATCAACCTTGAGCTGATCAGGATCAAACTGCTGGCAGTGAGCAGTGAATTAGCCTGCAATACTGCATTCTAACCACTGTGCCTTCATAGCTCCTTTTTTTCTCAGACTAGAGTGGCAGCTAGAGGAACTCATGAGCAGTGGCTCGTTCCTCATGCATTTGACAACACAAAGTCCTTCTCCTCTGTGTACAGCTTCACCCATGGAAAGAGGGGAAAAAAGCAGAGGACTGAAGCACCCACAGCAGTTACCTTTCACGTACACCGTTGCTTTTGAGAGGGGCATGGTGTCAAAGACGCAGTGGTATTCTCCCGAGGTTTCGTAATCCACTTTGGGGATCCTAGGATTCAAAAACACACACACAAACACATACCAGCAGGTGACAAGTAGAACACACAAAAGCATCGCAGGAGGAGAACTGGGAATGGATATTGCCAATTGTAATTTCACTCAGAAAACGCAATGGTCACGGAGTAAAAGGAGCTACATTCCAGCATCATCCGGGGGGGGGGGGGGGGGGAACCCACCAGGAAAGGCTGGATTAGATTTCCTGTCAAAGCGTAGGACACACACCTAAAACTCCGCTGAGCACGCCTAATTAAAACTTTCTGGGACAGGGCTGGAATCTTGAGAGGAAAAGTTCCAGGGAGCCATCACAATAAAACAATAGAGTGGATGGAATAATCCCGACTGTCCAAGAATCTTCCATCTATAGATGTAGCTGAAGAGTTCAAATAACCAACCAATCGCTCCTTGTAGGATGGCATATCTTGTTTTAATTTTATTTAATTTTATTTATTTGATTTATATTGCCTATTTGCCCATGGTGACTCAATTAATTAATCAATTAATGCCCAAGGCTCTGGCACCAGGTAGTCAGATTGGCAAAGTTTCTACTGATTGCCTCTCTGGTGGAATAATAACGCTTTTTCTGAAGGATTTATCTTTGTTTTAGTGAAGTCCGATCAGAGATTAACATACGTAGCCCTGAACTTACAGTCTCATTCATTTGCTCAAAGCTACAACAGTCCTGAGAAATGGGCAACCAAGTCTTTGCACTTACAACCAATGCAAGCCACATTTGGTTGCTTGGCACCTGGCTTGTACAGGTAGCCCTTGACTTACAACAGCTCACTTAGTGACCATTTGAAGTCACAGTGGTGCTGAAAAAAATGACTTGTGACCGTTTTTCAGGCTTACGACCGTTGCAGCACCCCCAGAGCAACATGATTTACATCCGGATGCTTGGCAAGCGGTCCATATTTATGACGGCCGCAGGGTCCCAGGGTCACGTGATCCCCTTTTACGATCTTCTGTCAAGCAACATCAATGGGGAAGCCAGATTCGCTTAACAACGGTGCTATGTAATAAATTGAGACATGCAAAACAACATTTCTAGGATAGTTGATAAGTAAGTAACCTGGTTGTTAAGGGAATCTGTTACTAACAACTGCAGGGATTCACTTGACAAATGTGGCAAGAAAAGTTGTAAAATGAGGCAAAACTCACCTTAACAGATTTCTCACTTAGCAGCATAAATTTTGGGCTCAATTGTGGACCGCCTGTATTTACGTTTGCAGCATCGGGGGGGGGGGGGGCGCGGCGCACATGCACGCCATTTGCGACCTTCCCTTCACTTAAAGAACGCATGATTTGCTCAACAACTCAACAACAGCTGCACTGCTTAGCAACAGAAATTCTGGTCTCATTTATGGCTGTAAGTTGAAGACTTATATAGCTACTCTTCTGGTTGTTAATTTGCTGGAGGAAGTGTACTTCCCCCTTTTCAGGAGATGTACCGTACAGGTAGTCCTTGACTTATGACCACAACAGAGCCCAAAATTTATGTTACTAAGTGAAACAGTGAAGTGTATTTTGACCCACTTTATGACTTTTCTTTGGTTGTCGAGTACATCACTACGGTTGTTCAGTTAGTAACACGGTCGTTAAGTGAATCTGGCTTTCCTATTGACTTTGCAGGTCAGAAGGCCACAAAAGGGGATCACATGACCCCAGGACACTGCAACTGTCGTAAATATGAACCAGTTGCCCTAGCATCCGAATTTTGGTCACGAGACCCTGGGTGTGCTGCAACTGGTTGTAAGTGTTAAAAAAAAAAAAAGGACCCTTAAGTCACTTGTTTCAATGCCATTGTAACTTCAAATGGTCACTAAACGAACTGTGACAAGTCGAAGAACTACCTGTGTACCTTTAAATACTGTGGGCTCTTGCAGTGGTTAGCAGTGGGATTAAAACCAGATTAAAAAAAGAAGAAAAGCAATTATTTGGCACACTGCATTTCCCCGTTTTTGGGTTACACCTGCCACTGAGTGCCATGTTGTTCTCAGGTGAAGAACACCCAGCTATTCCCACCTTCTTTCTCATTTAGAACCAAGCTAGTATTACTGCCCAACATTCAAGCACCAGAGATTTCTGTGCAGTGACGGTCAGTTAAGAATTATGCTTTCTGCAGGCAAAGCATTTCAGGCTCGTTGTTAAGCTAATGCAGAGGTCTCCAAACTTGGCAACTTTAAGACTTGTGGACGTCAACTGCCAGATTTTTCCAGCTATGCTGGCTGGAGAATTCTAGCAGTTGAAGTCCACAAGTCTTAAAGATGGCGAGTTTGGAGACCCCTGAGCTAATGCATACAATTCATTACTCCCTTCCCCCACCTTACTAGCAAAATTCTGGTGAGGAAGAGGAAGAAATGGTTGTCAACTTCTTTTATAAGTATGCAGTATAATCTCCTGCATAATTCCTAGGAAATAATCTCTGTTAAAATTTGAAATTAAAAAAAAAAAGTTGACTCTGGGTACGTCTTACTGTGAAAAATGATTCCACTGAACGTTGTTAAGTGGGCCAAACAAGCTGTGAAATTTCCCCATTTTGCATTTGGAGGAAATATTCCATTTGGAGAAGTTGATAATTTTTTTAAAAAGGTTTTTTTATCCCCTTTCTTTCATATACAACTCAATGCAATCAACACGCGACTATTTCTTCCACCTCCTTTCTCCACAACAACCACCCTGTGAGGTGGGATGAGAAAATGTGACTGGCCCAAAGTCACTCTGCCCAGTTTTTCATGCCTAAGGCGGACTAGAACTCCCAGTTCTCCTGGGGATTGGCCCAAAGTCACCACGCCTAAGGCAGGACTACACCCGAACCATTACACCAAACTGATTCTGATAATTAACTCATGTACGCTTCACTTTAAAGTCACCTACATGTAGGAGGTAAAATCCAGAGCGGTCTCATTGGAATCAAGCCTGGTCTCTCCCTTCATCCAGTAATTGCCTTTGATAGGTGTTGGTGTTTCACTTATGTTACATGAAATAATCACATTTGATCCAGAAGTTACTTCAGGAGAGGTTGAGATTTTGGCCCCTGGTTGTTAAGAAGAAAACGAAAGTTAGGTTAGGGTATCATGGGTGTGTCAGCATGTTTTAAGCACCTCTTAAAAGAAGGAAAGAGCCCTGGGTTTTGACATAGGGTTCGGTCACCCGCATGACTAAGTAAAAGCAGCTCGGTTGCAGCACAGTAATGGCATTTAACTCCTATCATTAAAATCAAGGCTCTGAGGTTTGAAACAATGTGGTCACTTGTATAAATCAAGAAACACCAGGAAATTAACATCCATCTGAGGGATTTGAAGGGAAAGAGATTAGGAAGCAGAGGTAACAATCATTTCTAAGCAGCACATCACCTTCTAAGCACATCATTTTTCTAAGGTTAACTAATAACAAATACAACTACTGGGATAAATAAAATAGTGTATCTATGCATACAGACCCATTGAATGGTTCAAAACATTCTGGGTGCTTTATTTGTGATTTTGGAGTAAATGTATTTGCTTTATTGTTTCTTCTGCTTAAACACACGTACAAATTCTTCTCCTTTCTGAACAATCACCACAATGAAACATCTAGTTTCATTCTGGTCTCTTTGCAGTAAACTAAAGGAATATATTTATGAAAAATGGCTGTATACAGGTAGACCTCGACTTACGACCACAGTAGAACCTCAAATTTCCTTTGCTAAGCAAGACAGTAAAGTGAGTTTTGCCCAATTTGATAACTTTTTTTTTGCCAGTTATTAAGTTGATCACTGCAGTTATTGAATTAGTAACACGGTTGTTAAATGAATCATTGACTCCGCTCGTCAGAAGGTTGCAAAAGATGATCACATGACCCCAGAACACTGAAAGTCATAAATACATGCCAGTTGCCAAGCATCCAAACTTTGATCACGTGACCATGGGGACGCAGCAATGGTCGTGTGACAAATGTCATAACACTTTTTTTCACTGTCATCGTAACTTCACATGGTCGCTAAATGAATCATTGTAGGCCGAGGGGTACCGGTAGTTCAATTTTAGGCCAGGAGCAGAAATTGCATTAAGGATCTTAAGCCAGTGCAAGAAGAGAAATACAGGCAGCAATCCACAGCCTCTGGGTGATAATCGACCCCAATTTAAGCCCAACTCAACCACAGAGACTGTGGAAGCTGCACATTCCCTATCAGGCCTCTTTGCCTACCTAGGATGCAACCTACGAGCACAGTTGAGCCCAACATTTCTGTTGCTAAGTGAGACACTTGTTAAGTGAGCTTTCCCCTAGTTTGCAACCTTTCTTGCAGAGTCAATCTAAATGACACTTAGGTCACTCATCGCAGTTAAGTAACCCAGTTTGCTTGTCAGAACGTATCCAAAGGGGATCAAGTGACCCTGGGACACTGCAAACCGTCATAAAGATGAACCAAGCGCCTTAATTTTGATCACGTGGTCATGGGGATGCGGCAACGGCCTTATAAGTCGCTTTTTTACAGTGCCATTGCAACTTTGAATGGCCACTAAATGAACTGCTGTAAGTCGAAGACTACCTGTATTAGCCTTCGCCTGCCACGAAGGAGAATTTCTCACCTGATGAGGTATAACTAAGACGAAGTCACAAAGTCATAATTAGCAGAGCTATTTTCTTGGCATTTCTTTTAGAGAAAAACAATCGCACCCTAGTTCGTATGCACAGAGTACCCAAAAGGAGTATGTGGCTATTTTCAGGCTTTCTTTCTTTTGAAATTCAATAAATTATAATGACCATTCTTTGAACTGTAAGCAAACAGTATGAAATTTGGTGGGTGTGCAACTCCCCTTTCCCCCTCCCAAAGGTAAATTCACCATCTAAACAAAGATTTTAAGCACTGAAAGAAGTTTATTCAAGCTAACCGTCATATTTTAATCACCATTTTCAAGAGAAATATACTGCTACGAATATTTTCCCTGCCCGTAGTCAAGCCAACTCATCCAAGTCGGCCATTTCCCACAAGACAGGGTATAAAGGTAAAAGACACACCTGACACTTGCCTCCTAAAAATAAGTTTTTTCCATTTATCGTTTTGTTTTAAATGAGCCATTGCTGGAACAAGCCGTTTGCAAACTTCCTTCAGTTAAGGAACAGTTTCTCACACAGACACTCCTTGAACATCTACAAGGGGAGCTGGTCTACTTGCAGAGGTATTGAAGCCTGGATCTAGTTCATATGTTGCATTGGCTAGGCTGCACCATCACCTCATATGAACCAAGGATATGCGTATCTCAGCCTCGGGAACAAGAAAGCCATTCCTGACGCCGTTAAGGAATCCTTGATCGAGCTTTCAAGGGGCTTGAGAAGAATTTGAAAACCAAGATTGGAAACGCTCTTGCCCGTCAATGCAAGTTCAGCATTTCAGCCAACGGCCGTATCATTTTATTCCCCCCACACCCTCCCCATGTTAGAAATTTGACTTTTGCAGCTCTGCAAATGGAAGGATAGCCGACTGGTCATCCTACAGCCAAGAAGAACTAAGCCTATGACCTAGGTGGCAAAGAGAAAATTTGGCCTTGTCAGAAAACGGTTGCCAGTTACAACAAGCACAAATACAAGTTTGGACTGCAAAATTGTGCTCCTTGTAAAGTGGGGAAGCAAAAATAAATAAAAAAATAAAAGCACAACCGCACAGATGGAAGAAGAAATATCAGAGCGCGGGGTGGGAGGAGGGGTTTTTGGAAATGACTGGTGGAAGCAGCGCAGAGGCAACCTGGTCTGTTTCTCATGGGAACGTTGGGGGAAGAGAGGCAGAATTCCAACGGATCCCCAAAAGGGCAGGATCATTTCAACGGAGAGGTCACAACCCCACCCTTTTTTTGGGGGGGGAGCAAGGCTGCAGGTGGATCCCTGCGGGGTTCACGAGGGTCGGGAAACTGAGGTGCATAAGGGGGTCTTGGAAAGCCACAGGACACGGATGGAAGGAGAGGCGGGCGGGGGAGGGGGCATGGGGACGGTAACGTTGGAGACAGTTCGGTGTCCGTGGGAACGCCGACACGTAGGAGTCTGCCACTCACGCTTAGTGACAATGACATTCGCCTGGGAACGGATCCATTTGACTTTGGGGCTCTTCGACAAGTGGTTACGATCAGGGTCGTTGCTGGCCCAGCATTCGTACGTGCCAGAGTCTTTGATCATGAGATTAGTGATGGCGATAGTGCTTGAGGAGTGCCGCTGGTAGGTTGCGCTGATTTGGACCCGGTTCTGCCAGGCGCCATCCCACAGCTGTATGGCGGTACCATTGGGGTCAGCTCCTTCAAACCACCACTGGATTTCGGGGATGGGGTTGCCAATAGCCTCACAGTGCAGTTCCACACTTTCCTCTGTCAGTTTCTTTTGAGAGAGAGGTGACTTTATAAAGCCAGCTATGAGTTGAAGAGGTATTAGCAACAAATGGTTAGTGGGGAAAAATAAAATAAATAAAAAATAGTGCATTCAAAAAGAAGATATTTCTGATTTTTAAAAAGGGATAACAGTAACTCACAGTATACAGATTCCTTAATTGGTTGTTTATAGGTTACAAGACCCAGAAAGTATTGAAGCAGCAGAGCCTGGAAAGCTTCTCTTCCCTTGGTGAATGAGGGTGGAGAGCTTTCTAACAAAAAGTACCACTAGCGATAGCACTTAAGACTAATATACCGCTTCACAGTGCTTTACACAGCCCTCCCTAAGCAGTTTACAGAGTCAGCCTCTGGCCCCCAACAATCTGGGTCCTCATTTTACCAACCTCGGAAGGATGGAAGGCTGAGTCAATCCTGAGCCTGGTGAGATTCGAACTGCCAAATTGCAGGGAGCCGGCAGGCAGCAGAAATAGCCTGCAGTACTGAACTCTAACCACTGCGCCACCGAGGCTCTTATCACTAGCGATATTAATATGTTGCCTCCATATTCTTTCCCTTTACTCAGACTAACATTTTTCTTAAACCAAAAAATAAAAAAGGTATTCCAACTAAGAGGTGAAACAGAACCCATCGTTATTTAACTTTCACACTATGGAGGAGGCAACACTAGTGCATTTTACTAAAAGCAGTATTGAATATTTACCAAGTAACAGTTCAATGATCTGATGCATCATTGTGTCCTAAAGCAATTTGCAAATCAGGGCCCTGAAAAATAATTCACAGGCCGTTACAGAGCTCTCAAAAGAACCTTGTACACATGGAAAAGGCACGATCCAACCTCTCCTATGCATGTGTTTGTAAGGTCATTAAACCACGATCCAAAAAGATGGTTTACTAGTCTTCGCGAGTTCTTTCAGAGCATTGTCTTTTCATACAGGAATAGATTCATGAGAAAGACCTGGGACTGAGTATTTTGCCCCAATGTAACACCTACACAAAACAGCTTCTCAATTTTAAATTTCAGATATAGTTATTGTGAGTATTGATGATGTGCAAATATCTCGTTATTGTGACATTACCTGCTTACACCCCTGCTTCAATAAGAGTTCAGACTCTGTTCCTCTTCTCCAAGAAAGAGGAAAAGACAATAATGGAGGCAACTGAGGGAAAAGTGAATGATTAGCACATTCACAGCATTGTTTCACCAATCCCTCTCCTATCAAGGGATTGGTGCACACAATTTGCTCTCAGCAAATCCAATCAGGCGTGCAAAAGTACGAATATGAGGCCTTTCATAAAGAAAGTCAGAAAGGAACATGTCCTCATGTGTACCGCACCAAATAATGGTTTCTTTGCTCACCCTCAATTTAAAAATTCATGATCAGCTGACCCAAACTAGCTAATTCCTGGCTGTAGTGACTGAGTAGCATTGCACAGGTTTCCTTTAAAGCACGTGGATTAGGCCTCCCCTTTCTGTGCTTTCTGGGCCTTTAAGACTGTCACTCACTCGGCCATACAGCTAGATACACATGGCTTGCAAAACATAATGCGTGCCTTTCCTAAAGCAATTAGTATTGAAAATCAAAACATGGCACAATTTCCCCATAAGTGGCAGTTCTGTAAAAACAAGGCTTTGCGGAAGGAAAAAAGGGAAGCAGCGACTGAGATTTTGTGGAAGGATCCG